AATTTTGAGGCAAATCGTACCAAAAGCACAAAACACTTTTTTTTGTCACGAAGCAATTAGTGATAGACCTCAAATCAACCCAAAACAGGAACTGCAGGACAAAGGGTAACAGAGGGGAAATATGGAGGCTGCAGCTGCTATCTTGTAAACGCAGCCACCTGCCATGTAAATGCATTCCATGGATCTTTCTGTACACTTTCCAGGAACATTGTACAGGTCAATGATTTACAAACTGTGGTGCATGAGATAATTTTCTGAATATTTATAATATTTTTAGTCATTGCTGGCATTATTATAAAGATAAGGGCTCAGAGATGTTTGCATATATTGGGTTTTACCATGCGTAATATTAAGAATTAAATGACCATAATGCATCATTTCTGTGCAGCAGTCAAAGCAGAGATGCCCAATCCTCCCTCTCATCAGCCACCTCCTCCAAGGTGTTCCCAGGCCAGCTGAGAGACTTAATTTCTCCAGTATCTCCTGGGTCTGGCCTGGGGTCTCCTCCTAGTTGGACATGCTTGAAACACCTCCCCAGGGAGTCATCAAGGAGGCGTCCTACACAGCTGCCTGAACTGCCTTAGTTGGCTTCTTTCGATGCGGAGGACCAGCGGCTCTAATTTGAGCTCCTCCCAAACGTTTGAGCACCTCACCTTATCTCTAAGGCTGAGCCCAGGCACCCTGTGAAGGAAACTCATTTCGGCTGCGTGTATCCGAGATCTCGTTCTTTCTGTCACCACCCAGAGCTCATGACCGTAGGTGAGGGTAGGAACATAGATTCACTTGTAAATCGGTAGCTTTGCCTTTTGGCTCAGCTCTCTTCACCACAACAGAATGACACAGCGTCCGCACAACTGCCAACACTGCACCAATTTACCTGTCAATCTCTCACTACCTTCTTCCCTCATTTGTAAAATAGAACCTGAGATGCTTAAATTCCTCTGCTTGAGGCCGTGACTTAGGAGAGGGCAATCCACCCTTTTCCAGTCGAGAACCATGACCTGAGACTTGGAGGTGCTGATCCTCATCCTGGCCAATTCATACATACCCATAAACTACCCCAGTGCATGCTGCAGGTCACAGCCAGACAAAGCAGAGATGTTCATCGAGTCACAAAATTAGAGTCTGAGTCAAATCCATCATATTGACTATTGTAACCGCTTATTTGTTTTTATTCTACTAGTAACTGATGTAACTAAATAGGAGTCACCACTTGGACAGTTCAAAAACTGCTTGTCTCATAGTTCCTTAGGTTTATATACATTTTCAAAGTAATCGTTATTTCAAATGGCTTTGAAACAAAATTTTTGTAAGAACCTAAGTAATTTTCTAATGTAAATTTTAAAACTGATACTTTCTCAAAAATAACATTAAAAAGACATCCATTGAGCAGAAGAGATCATTAATTAGTATGAACGGTGAAAAACAGTTTAGACCCAAAGAGGGTCTAAACTTGGCAACACACACACAAAGACACACAGACACAGAGGTTTGTAATTATATCTTTGTGGGGACTCTCCATTCATTTCTCTGGGGAAAACTCTAATCACAACATGGTGACCTTAACCCCTACCCAGCCGTAACCTCAACCACAAGTAACCAAACAAAATACAAGTCTTTTGGCATTGTTAGTTTTTTGATTGTAGTCAAAAAATTTGAATTTTCCTTTGTGGGGACTGAAAAAATGGTCCCCACAACGTCAAAATAACAGGTTTTTATCACATTGTGGGAACATTTGGTCCCCACAATGTAATGTATTCCTGGACCACACACAAAAACGCAACTGAAACCTTTCCTGATATGATTAACAAAAAAGAAGCTTCCTGTGTTTGAGGTGGCTGGACCAAACTATAACCAAGACCTCATTTGTTGTACTGCCAAAGTAAAAGCATGCTAAAATAAATCACAATTTTCATCTTTACACATTGTTCTAAAGCAAAAACTTCAATTAATGGATAAAATTGTCAGAAACGTTTTTTTGGGAAATACTAAAATAAGTTTTTGGGATATATATACTAAAGTATCAGATTTATGGCAAACTGTGTCACTGTATAACGACACAAAGTAGGCTATATATAATTTACACCAGAGGTTAGGTCAGGTCAGATCAGGTGAAGTTGGGGAGAATGCGCTGATGCAGCACGTTGCTGCACCCACCACACGGCGAAACTCCTCGGGATCCCGGCCGGCGATCCTCAGGGCAGACACACAGTTCAGTCCCACCCTTCGGAAATGGCCATCCATCTGCTGCAGCCAGGTGTCATGTGGGCGTCCCCTCGGCCTGGTCCAGCCGCTTGGGTCCTCAGCAATTAGGGTCCTGCGAGCCGGATCACCCTCAGGGAAACGCGGCACATGGCCATAACTGATGCTCCCTCACAATGCAGGTAATGTGCCTCATTCGGGACTCCTCTAGCAACCACTCATTCAACACAAAGTCAAACCAGCGGTACCCAAGGATTCTCCAAAGAGACACAGTACCAAAGGAGTCCAGTTTTAGTCTCAGCTTAGTGGATATAATCCATGTGTCACAGCCATATAGCAAGACAGGGAGCACCAGGACTCTAAAGACTTGGACCTTTGTCCTCTTGCACACACCCCTTTACAGCGACCTCATGACCCCCCATGCTCTTCCAATCCATCTACTGACTTCATAGGAAGAGTCACCAGAGACATGAATGTCGCTGCTGAGGTAGGTAAACCTCTTGACAAGGTCAACATTTTCCCCACAGACAGACACATTACTGATGGCTGTGCCTAAAAAGTCATTAAATGCCCTGATTTTGATCCAGGATATCCGCAATCCCAGACACTCAGACTCCTTGCTCAGTCTCATGAGAGCCCAAGATCAGTAAATCTTTCTTCATCAACAGACGCCCCATAGCCGCTGGACCCCATGACCCTGCCCAACAGCCAGTCCATACAAGAATTGAAGAGTAGGAGCAAGAACACACCCCTGGCGAAGCCCAGAATCAACTGGGAAGAATGCAGAGGCTCTCTCTCCACTCTGCACAGCACTCACAGTACCAGTGTACAGGCCGGTCATGACGTCCAGCAACTTCAGGAGGATCCTGCAAAGTCTCAGGATGTTCCACAGGGCAACTCGATCAACTTAGTCGAACGCTTTATGAAAATCGACAAAGGCTGCAAAGAACCTCTGCCGATATTTGCACTTGCACTTGATGAGAACCCTCAGTGTCAGGATACGATTGATGGTAGACTTTTTAGGGGTAAAACCAGACTGCTCTGGTCACTGACAGGCAAGCAAGTGATCACAGATCCTGTTAAGGATGACCCTAGCAAGGACCTTACCCGGCACTGAAAGCAGTGTTATCCCTTTGTAGTTGCCGCAATCCAGGCAATCACCCTTCCCTTTCCAGATAGGGACTACAAGTCCCGTTTTCCAGTCAGTTGGGATGATGCCTGACTCCTAAATGGAGGCAAAGATTGCCTGCAATACCAGGAGGACAGCCTTACCACCAGCCTGGAGAAGTTCACCCTAGATTCCACAGATCCCTGCGGCCTTCCCTACCCCCAGCTGATTCACCACCCATGCAATCTCAGTGAGACTGGGTAGTTCACAGCTGATCGGAGGATCAGCTTCGAGATCCGTGGACCCAGAGATGTCCAACATCCTAGGTGGAGGGTCAGCTTTAAACAACTGCTTGAAGTAGCCGGTCCAGTGGGTCACAACTGTCATCCATAAGGACCGTTCCATAATTCACCCTGACTGCAAGTCTCAGAGGAACAGATTCACATGTACATAATGCTTCGATTCCTCTGTAAGCAGGACGTGGGTCACTAGACCACAGATGGTGTGTCACCTGCTCACAGATTCGTCTAACAAATGCCTCCTTATCTGCCCTCAGAGCCTTCACAGCCGTCCTTCTCAGTTCCCGGTACAGACTGCGCTGTAACTCCTCTCGATAATATCCAGGGTGCCCTACGAGATGAATTACCTCCTTCTGGGAACACTGGCAACACCACCACAACCCTCGGCAACCTTCAGGGTCTTATCACAGAAGGTCTCCCACATCACATTAGAGTCAGTAGTCGCACCCAAGTCTGCAAGTTCTTCACACAAACTATGTGCAACTCATCAGAAACAGCCTGATCTTGGAGTCTGGTGAAGTCTAGCCTCAAACTCCCAGTAGGTGGTAGCCTGCTGGATCTAAGCTGAATCTTCAGAGTCACAGGTTAAGCAACGCTTATTTCTTAGTGGTGCCATCCAACGTAAAATAACACTTGGAGTAACACTTGGGTCACAATCCTATGCCTTTTCCAAGTCCACAAACTCCCATGAACACTCTAATATCCTTGTGAGGTTGAAGAGCTGGTCCAGCATGCTATGACCTGGATGAAATTTGTGTTGTTCCTCCTGGCTTTGAGGTTTGACCAACAGATGGACCCTGCTCTCTAGTACCCCAGCATGGACCATCCGAGAGAAGCTACTAATCCAAAAGTCACTGTCCCCAACCTCCTCGCAATGTTAAAGAGGTGTGTCAGGTAGAGTCCCGACCACTATGTGCTCACCCACTCCTCCCCAGGCCTGGCTGCAACGTGGGGTCCTGGTCTCCTTGGGAAAGGTCACCCGGTCCTTTCTTGTCATCTTCATGACAATCAACCATCCATCCAAATTCCAACTGCTGAAGCTGAGCTGGTTACAGGTACGATAAAATCAGGGAAGGTGAAATGTGTAGGAATATTGTATCAATCACAGAGGAAACCCACCTGCTAAATTGTTTCCTGGCAGTTACTGAGAGCAAGTTGGTAGCCCACTGTAACAGCACCAGAGTTTTTATAAAAACAATTTCAAAAGTGAATTACAACACAGGCATTGAATCCTACATTAGTAAGACATCATATGATGGGCTCAAACTCATTTTACTCATTTTCTACAGCGCTCTGTACCTTACTTATTACATCATACATATTACACCTCACCTGGCTTAGTCAAAAAACTGGTTAAACAACTTTTTGCTTCCATCAAAGAAATACTCAAATAAAACACATCTTTTTTAGTTTATTTTGTACAGTATAAAGAATAAGGTCCACAACATTACTTTCAAAACATAAAAGAATGTATGACATTGTACGAGGCAACACAAGCATGAGTTTGTCAAACGTGATTTAAAGCAAGAAGCACTCCAGTCTTAAACGGGCTGAGTACCGGTTTTACAGAATACATAGTAATACTATCTAATGAATGCCTGAAGCACCAGGTGAGGCAAATATCACATAATTCGAGGCTATCAGGTGAATGACAATAAGAATATACTGTTACTTCCTTCCATAAAGAAGTTGTACATTTTCTGAAAGTCTGCTGCAGTCAGAGGTCCGTTGCTCTAGAATTTTAAAAACACAACCTCTTCAGGATGGAAAAAAATTAAACGATAAAAGACATATACAAAAATAAAAAAATATTCAACTCAACACCGACATATGTCCAAACAGGTGTGCCCCCCCCCAGGAGCTACTACCCTGTGTTGGCAGACCCTGTGGTGTCCTTTTTGCTCTTCTTTATCGTCTTCAAACCAGTGAAGGAAACACGCATTCTCTCCACTGTCCTCACACTCCTGCAGATAAGGGTGTTCCTCACTTGATCCCGGAACTCCTCAGAGATAAAGTAGTAGACAAAGGGGTCCACACAGCTATTCAGGCTGGCTAAGAACAGTGTGCTGATATAGAAGCCATAAGCTTTATTTTCCTGGCCATTTAAGAGGAGCCCATACTGGACAAGCAGCATGATGTTGCTGGGGGCAAAGCACAACAAAAACATGACAAGGACGACAATGATGAGGTAGACAGTCTTTCGGCGTTTCTTGCGGACATTTTCATCAGACATGGAATTTCTCAGAGCCTGAACCATTAAAACGTAAGCAACGATGCAGACTACTGTTGGGATGGCAAAAGTGAAAATTGCCATGGACATGAAGAAGCCACTTGCGTTTTTTATGTCTTGCAGTTTGGTGATGTCATGACAGGTGGTGATTCTAGGGTTACTGATATTCACAGTTTGGTCATAGAGGTACAGTGGAGTTGTCACCAACCAAATTACAACCCAAACTGTAATTGAAATGGCAAATCCAATCTGACTGTTCTTAGTGTGAACAGACATGGGATAGACAACAGCCAAATACCGCTGCACGCTGATGCAGGTAATGAACATTACTGAGCAGTACATGTTCCCGTAGAAGAAACCCACCAGCACTTTACAGAGTTCCTCTCCATAGACCCAGTTATTGCCTTTAAAGTGGTAGGAAATTTTTAGGGGGAGCCAGATGACAAACAGTAGGTCAGACAGAGCCAGGTTGGCCATGTAGATTGCAGCAGGGTGCTTCTTCTTAGTTCTGAAGATAAACACCCAAATCGCCATTGCATTGGTTGGTAAGCCCACTGCGAACACAATGATGTAGAACACCGGAAGGAAGACTGTGGTCAGTTTACTTGTAAGTATTGCCATTTCAGTATCAGTGACGGAGGTCAGGTTGCCACTTGGTTGACTAAGGAGTGACTGGTTACCTAGAGTTAGAGAGAGTAGAAAGTCAGAGTGAAACTTTAACAATACACCTCTACATATTTCTTTATGTAAAGTTAATCAATTTACCTGACATCCAACCTCCCCAAGAAGTTATTCAGCGATGATAATACCAGCTGGCAAGACGTTTCACTGCCACAACCCCAACCTCATATTTTGCTGCCACCCTCCACCCTCATTCAGCAAATGTTATTACTGACACCCCAACACACAACCCCCCAGCAAGCACTAAGTTTCAGCTGTATCTATTGTTTTTACCGTCCAGAATATGGTAATCTGACAGCATTTTAAAAAGCAGCGGTATTCCAGTATTATCCAAAACAATCTTCCGGCAGGTTGGGGTATTTTCAAACTAAAATATCATGGTATACCCCCAAATACCATAAACACCACAGGATAAGGTATTACTGTAATACCACCCATGTCTAGTACTCCTGTTGTCCCTCATCTGCCTCCCTGAAATCAAAATGGCTAAAGTGGTATGTCTGACTTGAACACAAAGAACTTTATGCAAACTTGTGATTAAATGTAAGAAAGATACTCTGTGATTAAGCAGGAATGAATGAAGGTGCTGCAGGATTATTCACTTCCGTACCTCTATACTGAGGTGTAGTTTCTACCCCAAAGAAACCGATCATCTTAACCAAACAAGGAACAACAAACTCAAATAATCCCACCACACCCCAGGAGCTGCACCCATCTGCCAAGCTGCCCCCCCCAGATAAACAACAGTTTATACCGTTGATAATTCTTATCTCGTTTAAAAAAAAGAAAAAAAAAACATTGTTTAATGATGCTAAAAGAATACACGATTGCACTACTGTACCTTGACTCACCATTCAGCTTGATGTTGTGCATATATACTGTGTATATTTTCCATTTTCGTACATGCACAATAACAAACCGATTTACATCAATATTAGCAGAAATACTTCAATTTGGGGGTGTCTGAATTTGTCGTTTTGTTAGCCGAACACTGGGATCACAGTTGCAAAAGAGACATTGAAGCGAGTTATTAGACTGACTGCGACTGAACGTCTGGTGGAGTGAGGAGTGTTGGTGCTCAGCATGCCTATGGTGGGGGGGGGGGAGATCCCACAGCTGAGGGGCCTGAGGTTTGGGTGGTAGCCTAGATGGATGAAGATCACTAAACATCTAAACATAAGATTTATTCCACCAAATATGTTCAAACATCCTGGGAAATAGTCTCCGTTTGTCAGTGACTCACAAACATACATTCAATAAGAAGAGACACGGTAAAATAAGACAAGACAATGCTCATGTGTGATTCTGTAGATGTATAAAATGTACTGTTGATAAATGCATAAAAAGGGCAAAATTGGTTAACAAACGTGAATCTCAATGTGAGAGTTGACACCTGTGCTCTGGCGAGTGGTCGAACTTGATTTCCAGCCCTGTCTGTTTTCATCCGTCTCATTATGTTGTGTTTCAACTGTCAATTTGCCAGTATTTAAAATATCATATTCTATTTATCACTGTTTTATTGCACGATGACCAACGAGATCGTAATTTCATCGTAGAGTATTAACTACGGATCATACAAGTGAAGATCACAATAAAGATACTTTGACTTTGACTTGACAGACCCCGCATGAGTATCCTGCAGGCACGCGTTTCAAAACAAATGAAAAACACCTTACCTCCTTCAGCCACAGAAATATGTGTCCAAAGTAACAATCCAATTATTTTAAGGAGGTTCATAGCTGTGTAGATCCTTCTTCGTAAGGTAGGTAGTTGTATCACCGGGCGTTTGCTGGTGGGAAACTGAGAAACGCGTAATAGGACACACACTAATGAACGCAACAGGCAGGGCACGGATTATCATGTGATCACGCTGGCCTGTGTTTAGTACTGAGGGGAAACAAGTGAATAATTTAAAGACAAAGGTTGATTTACGGGGCGTGAATGAAGGGTACACAAACACTGTCCCCCCAATTCCTATACCGCAATACATTTTATAGTAAAGCTGGCGCCTTTAAGCGTAAATCATTCCAAGAAGATTTGTATATTGTTTGTTAGCGCAATTAAAACTTATTCAGCTTTGTTTTTATTGGTGCGATTCGATATGGAGCAAAAGACGCGGATCATGCATAAAGCATACATATACTGTATAGGCATGTATAACTACCGCTTTACAGCTTGAACGACTGTCCTTGTATCTCCAGTGAGGTAAATATATATCTGCATCGCAAAAAGATCAAAGGCGGTCGAGTGGAGTAATATGGTAGGGAATGTAAATATTTTAGCACTGTAATACATCTCTATGACTATGTATACGTGAGAAAATCACAATATTGGCCACTGCACTAGCTCATACGTAATGTTTTTGCAATATCATCATTTTATATTTCAGTAGTGTACAACCATATAAATATTATAGCAAATGTGTGGCTTTATTTGTGACTCGAGCCCTGTCCCCCTTTTATGAAGACTATCAGCATACATTTTTGGATGAAAAACTTGAAAGGTCTGTGCCCGGGCGCCTGTGTTTTAATCCCCATGATTGACATCATTCACGGTGATTGTGAAACCCACATTCGAAGTCAGTCTAAAAATGAAAGTTCCCATAGCTGTTTCAAAACATCTGTCAGCCACTATGTGTGAAGCACTTAAGGAATTGTGGTATTTCCAGACGGACCATCAGGCGTGTGCAGGGGGGTTAGAGGTGCCTGAGCACCTGCCCCTTTTGCCTGAACGATTGAAAGTGCCCCACATTTGAGGTGGAAATTGTCTTGTCCGATATAACCAGCTATCACACAAAATTTGCGAAGGTGGACTATAGCCGGAAAAACTTTCCGAGGGGGATCATCTTCCGTCGGCAAAATTAATGACAAACAAACAAATTAATGAATTGAGTACATATGTCTCTTTTCAATCCATGTAGTATTCACCTTGCGCACTAGGGGTTCTGTAGGTAGACCGGTGCAGGACTTGTATATGGACTCGTGCAAGTCATTTTTCATAGGAAGGAGAAAAGCTTTTTTCCACCAAAGAAATCCTTAATTTTTTGCAGCATGAAAATACTGTCCAACATTACTTTCAAACTGAAAAGAAATCATCAGATTGTACCTGGGACAACACAAGCATGAGTTTGTCAAATGTAATTTAAGCAAGAAGCCCTCGAGTATTAAAGGGGCAGAGTCCGGGTTTTACGGAATAAACAGTAATTATATCCGATGAACGCCTGGAGCACTAGGCGAGGCAAATACCACATAATTCGAGGCTTGCAGGTAAATGACATCCCGCATATACTGTTACTTCCTTCAGTAAAGAAGTTTAGTTGTTGTTATCTCTGTTGCATAAATAATCGCCGGAACATCCCCTTCTGCGTTAAAGTATAATTGCAAAAAACATTTACTTTTTTTGTGTTAATATTTGTATTGTTGTTCTAGGACTTCCGGGATAGGCTCCGGACCCCCCGCGACCCAATATGATAGGCGGGTTGGACAATGGATGGATGTTGTAGGACAGGATTTGTAAGCTACCATTTCAATTTAAAGTACCTGAATTTCACTTAAGCACCGAGTTCTCGCTATGTGCTGATTGGTCAGCCTCCTGTAATCATATACGCGTTACTAATTTTAATATGAAACTGCTCCATGAGTCTTTAAATCAAGGAAACATCAAGGAAACAAACCATTCAAAACACAAGAAGAACTGAACTATTTAGCCAAGCACAGGAGCCTTTCAGTTTTAAAGTAGTTTGTAAAACCCAAAGTAGCTGAAGGTGTTTTTCCTGACATGGTAGTAAGCCTATAAGTACACCTTGTAACTGACATATTCTTCGTCTTCAAAACATTGAAATAAAAATAAAATGAAGCTTTACAACACAAATCTGCGCACACGTAACTTTATTTACAACATGCTTCACTGTACTGTATCAACCTACGCAGGTATGATGGGGACTGAAGCTGCAACTATGCTGTTTTATACTAGTCCTCAATATACTGTATTAATTGTGAATTAATGTTACCCATGTAAAGCAGTGAAATGCATCAAGTGACTTTGTTTTTAAAGCAGCGGTGGCCCAAGCTCTGATGTTATAGCCAGAGGCAATTCCATAGGGACACAGGGGGCCACAGGCAAAAAATTCCTTGGGGCCCTCCAACGCACCCCACCCAGCATGATAATATTTATGATAATTATCTTAGTGTGAAATCTAAATTAATAATACCGACAAAGAGAATTTAATAAACACAATTCTTTTATTTTCATTTTACTGTGAAAAACAGAACACACAAATAAAGCATAGTTATCGTTGCAATGTACTATGCAATTGGCCCAGCTTGGGGTCCCCTGGCAATTGCCTGCCTTGTCCCTACACTTCTGGTTATAGCTCACATGTAAGTATTTCATAAGTGAAACTATTTAAAACTGTTAATGGTTACAGCTCAGACTGAGCATCCATCCATCCATCCATCTATCCTCTACCGCTTTTCCGGGACGGATCGCGGGGGCAGCAGTATAAGCAGAGAAACCCAGACTTCCCTCTCCCCAGCCACTTCGTCCAGCTCTTCCGGGGGAATCCCAAGGCATTCCCAGGCCAGCAGAGAGACATCTCCAGCATGTCCTAGGTCTTCCTCGGGGCCTCTTCCCAGTGGGACATGCCCAGAACACCAGTGTGTGGCTCAGTGGGCTAAGCCTGTGTGCCCGTAATTACAAGGTTGCTGGTTCAAACTTAGCCGTAGCATGTCTGCGGGTCCTTGAGCAAGGCCCTTAACCCCCAGCTCCCTGAGTGCCCCAACTGGTGGCTGCCCTTCATGGACAGCTTACTCTACAAAGAGCAAGTTGAGGAAGGTGTAAAGAAGAATTTCCCCATGGGGACAATAAAGGATAAATTATTATTATTTGGTGGCTTAATAGTTAGGGAAGTGCACTAGTAACTGAAAGATTGCAGGTTTGAATCCCCAACCAGTAAGGCACCACTGAGGTACCCTGAGCAAGGTACTGCTCCCTGGGTGCTGAATTAGCTGCCCCCTGCTGTCACACTGTCACATATGGGTTAAATGCAGAGGACACATCTTGTTGTGCACTGTGTGCTGTGGTGTCTCAACAATGACAATTAATCACTAAATTCTATATTCACCTCACCAGGGAGAAGTGCCCAGTTTGTGATTTCTGATCACCGACTTGTTGCTACTCTGAATATTCAGCTTAGATCCAGTAGGCTACCATCTACTAGGAGAATGAGGCTGGATTTAGCCAGACTCCAAGATCAGGCTGTTTCTGATGAGTTTGCATGCAGTTTGTGTAAGAAACTTGCAGACTTGGGTGCAACTGCTGACTCTAATGTGATGTGGGAGACCTTCTGTGATAAGATTCTGAAGATTGTTGAGGGTTGTGTTGGTGTTGCTGGTGTTCCCAGAAGGAGGTGTTTCATCTCACAGGGCACTCTGGATATTATCGGGAGGAGTCACAGCGTACAACTTGGTGGCAACTCTAGTCTGTACCGGGAACTGAGGAGGCTGGCTGTGAGGGCTCTGAGGGCAGATAAGGAGGCATTGTTAGACAGATCTGTGAGCAGGTAGCATAGCATCTGTGGTCTAGTGACCCACGTCCTGCTTACAGAGGAATCTAAGCATTATGCACATCGGAATCGGTCCCTTGGAGAATCGTAGTCAGAGCAGGTGAGGGACCGGCTACTTTGAGCAGCTGTATAAAGCTGATCCTCTGGCTAGGATGTTGGGCATCTCTGGGTCCATGGTTCTTGAGGCTGATCCTCCGAGTGAACCACCAAATCTCACCAAGATTGCACAGGTGGTGAATCAGCTGGGGGCAGGGAAGGCTGCAGAGTTCTGTGGTATCTAGGGGTGAACTTCTCTAGGCTGGCAGTAAGACTGGCATTTCTGGCAATCTTTACTGCCATTTGGGAGAAGGGAGTCATCCCAACTTACTGAAAAACAGGACTTGTTGTCCCTATCTGGAAAGGGATGGGTGATCACCTGGATTGCGGCAACTATAAGGGGACAACACTGCCCTCAGTGGCGGGTTAGGTCCTTGTTATGGTTATTCTTAACAGGATCTGTGATCACTTGCTTGCCTGTCAGTGACCAGAGCAGTCTGGTTTTGCGCCTTAGAAGTTTACCATTGACGGTAACCAAAATAATAAACAATAAACAAAAACCCCAAAAAAAAACCCTCCTGCCTTCCCTAACCCAAATCAAAGTGAAACAAAAATACAAACTCTTCCCTGACTCCCTAAGTAACAGTAACACAAAGCCATAATCCCCCCCAAACAAAAATGGCAGGCACCATACACATACACCAGAGGGAAAGGGCAAAATCGTAATACAGAGCAATCTTATGTCAAAACCCAGTGATCATACATGAAACCAAGTGACATTCCAGAGGGCAAAACGAAAAGAGAAAACGTTACACAAACCAGGGTCAGATACAGTACATGGTAATACAACAAGTCAAATACAGCTAGCGATAGCGAGATATGAACACTCGATCCTGTTCAGCAGGCAGAGCGACTTTTCATCCCATGGAAGGGGAAAAGCCTGGAGGTATATGAAATGAAGAGGTGGAGTAGGCCATCAGCAGCAGACAGGAATCGACAAGCTCACCTCAGCTGACACCCAGACCCCCCCCACCCTCCACAAGTGTAATCTTACTCTGCAGGTGTCACCCCAAGTGCCCCTAACATCTAGAGAGGGTGGAAGCAATCACATTTTCCTTCCCTTTTTATGCTTGAAATACAAGTTGAATTCCTGCAGAATTATGGCCCAACGCATCAGTCTATAATTATTATTGCACATGGGGTGTAGGAACACGAGGGGATTATGATCAGTAAAGACTGAATGGGGCAGAACTGTCTCCAATATAAACCTCACAATGCTGGAGAGCAAGTAAAAGGGCGAGCGCATCTTTTTCTATGATACTGTATGCAAGTTGATGTTTGAGGAATTTCTTGGACAAGTAGCAAATATGGTGGTCCAATCCTTGATCCTCCTCCTGGAGGGGGAGGGCATCCACCCCCATCTCGCTGCCATCAATCACCAATTTAAAAAGCCTATTGAAAGCAGGCGTGGAGAGAACTGGACAGGAGGGATTTCATTGCATCAAAAGCTACTTGACAGTCTGACAACTAGACAAAGGGGGTATGTTGGCGCAATAGTTTGGTGAGCAGTAAGAGTCCTTCTGAGTTTTTGCAGAAACAGCGATAAGAGCCAGTCATCCCCAAAAACCATTTGTGTCAGGTGTCATTTCATTTGGGAAACTGGAAACAAGTTAATTGTCAGGACTTTTGCATCTAGGGGCTTTACCGCTCCCCGGCCAACCAGCTTCCCAAGGTAGACAACGTTGCCTTTCCCAAACTCACATTTTTCTAGGTTTAAAACCAGCGAAGTGAGTTGAAGTGAATAATTACTGCTTTCCACTACCCATATGGCTGGTCTGGATTTCTTGTTCGTATCTCCACTTGGTCCATCCACTAGACGACGCCAAAACAGTTATTTTACCTTCTAATTAGAGGGCTCAGACTTAGCAAACACTGTTTTATTGTATAAAATTTTAAATAAAGCAGCTTAAAAGATGGATGGATAATTAAAAGTGCACAATGACCATTTTGAGGGTTGATGAACTATTATAGCTATATGTTAAATATTGTAGCTAATATTAAATAATCTCATATATAGTTAAATACGCTAATTAAATGTTAATGAATGAATGTCTTTTCCTCCCTTAATAACTAAAATCTGGCTCTATGTATTCTATGTTTCAGTTTTGGTGTCAAAATCAGAGTATGGATCTTCATAAACTTTTTTTCTAGCCGTACTCATCAATGACCGATAAGGACAGGGAAGTAGACAGGGCTTGGGTCTGGGACCCGGGGATGGGGGGTGGGTCTCGTCAATCACATTATTGATACTGTCCCCTTCATAAGCTGTTTATTTTTTTAAGTAATCAGTTATGTGAAATGTTGGTTAGCCTCATTTTTTATTAAGGTGAATATTTAGCTTCAAATTTTATTTTTAGCTCTTAAAAAATGACCAAGGTCTGGACCTGGATGACCTCATAGCTGGCTTTGGATAACAAGTAGTACAATACAAGTTAAATATCTCCAACTTTATCATAAAAGTAAGCAGGATATTACAGCAGTTACTTGTCAATATTCTCTACGTCGGTTCTTTGACCTGGGCACTATTTGTTAGGACTGACTGTTCACTTAACCAATAATATTTTTGATGCTAGCACTCAAGTTAAACAAAAGGAATATTAACACCTTGAATGATTTGGTTCCGGGTGATGTGGTGATTAGCACTGTTGAGCCCCCCCCCCCCCTGCCCAAGCCAGGGGTGGAGTTAGCATGCTCCCCCAGTGTTGTCACGGTGTTCCCAAATTGTCTGTAGGTGTGAATGTTGAGTGTGCCTTGCAATGGGCTGGTGTCCTGTCCTGGGTTGTTACCTGCCTTGTATGTGTAGTTTCTGGGATAGGCTCCAGACCCATCCGACCCGAAAAAGGACAAGCTAGTTTTACCTTTGCGACTGAATAAAATGACCATATTGTTGCTGCCTTCAAGGAACCAATAAATTAAAGAAACATTTTCTTTCTCATTATTCTTCCACACTTTCATTACCTTCTGCTAACCTGCAGTTTGGTGAATTTGGATTTCTTCCAAATGTACAGTATGTATGTCTGTGTGTGTGTGTGTGTGTGTGTGTGCACCCTACAATGGACTGGTATATGCTGACCAGGATAATCCCCTGCCTTGTGCCCTATATTGCATGGGACAAGCTGCAGGCCTCCTGCTCCCAAACCTGATTATTCTCCCAGAAGACCCATGTGTGGCTCTTACAATCATCCATCCATATTTCAACTGCTGGTTACAGGTATGATACAATCAGAGAAGGTGGATTGTGTGGCACTATTGTACACTCTATCAATCACAGAAGAAACCAACCTCTTAGTCTTATTGGTTTCCGGCAGTTATTGTGAGCAAATGGTGAGGCCACTGTAATGGCATCAGACTTTCATAAGAAACGATTCAAAAATTAATTTCAACACAGACATTGAATCCTACATTAATATAAGACATCACATGACGGTTCAAACAGCGTTGTGTACTTTTCTTTGTTACAGTTTCCTGACCTTGATTAGTCAAAAACTGGTCAAACAAGTTTAGATTCCACCAAAAAAAAACCTTAAGTAAGAAACATCTTTATACTGTAAAAAATAAACTGAAAAAAGAATAACATCCACAACATTACTTTCAAAACATAAAATAATTTATTATATTGTACACCGGGCAACACAAGCATGAACGTGTCAAACTTGATCTAAAGCAAGACGCACTGAAGTCTTAAAGAGGCAGAGTCCGAGTTTTACAGAAAACACAGTAATACTATCTGATAAACCCAGGAAGCACCAGGTGAGGCGAATACCTCATGATCTGAGGCTAGAAGGCAAATGACAAGCATATGCTGTTATTTCCTTCAATAAAGAATGGTTGTACATTTTCTGAAAGTCTGCTGTCAGAGGTCCTTTGCTCTAGAATGTAAAAACACAACCTCTTCAGGAAGGAAAAAGAACGATAAAAATCATATACAAAAATAAATAAATATATATATAAAAAACTCAATGACTGACAGGTGTCCAGGCAGGTGTGTCCCCTCCGGAGCTACTACTCTACTTGTTAGATCTTGAGGTGTCCCTTTTGCTCCTCATCTTCAAAGCAGTGAAGGAAACCTGCATTCTCTCCACTGTCCTCACACTCCTGCAGATCAAGGCGTTCCTCACGTGATCCCGGAACTCCTCAGAGATAAAGTAGTAGACAAAGGGGTCCACACAGCAGTTCAGGCTGGCTAAGAACAGTGTGCTGATATAGAAGCCATAGGCTGTATTTTCCTGGTCATTTAAGAGGAGCCCATACTGGACAAGCAGCATGATGTTGCTGGGAACAAAGCACACCAAAAACATGACAAGGACGACAATGATGAGGTAGACAGTCTTTTGGCGTTTCCTGCGGATATTTTCATCAGACATGGAATTTTTCAGACCGCGAAGTATTAAAACATAAGCGATGATGGAGATTACTGAAGGGATGGAAAAAGTGAAAATTGCCATGGACATGAAGAAGCCACTTGCAATCTTTATGTCTTGAGGTTTGGTGACGTCATGGCAGGTGGTGATTCTAGGATTGTTGATGTCCACTGTTTGGTCATAGAGGTACAGTGGAGTTGTCACCGAGCACATTACAATCCAAACTGTAACTGAAACAGCAACTGCAATTTTGCTATTCTTGTTGTAATTAGACATGGGATAGATTACAGCCAAATACCGCTGCACACTGATGCAGGTAATGAACATTACTGAGCAGTATATGTTCCCATAGAAGAAAGCCGCAAGCACTTTGCAGAGATTCTCTCCATGGACCCAGTTATTCTCATTAAAGTGGTAGGAAATTTTTAGGGGGATCCAGACGACAAACAGCAGGTCAGACAGAGCCAGGTTGGCCATGTAGATAGAAGTAGGGTGTTTCTTTTTAGTTCTGAAGATAAACACCCAAATCGCCATTGCATTGGTTGGTAAGCCCACTGCACACACGATGATGTAGAACACAGGAAGGACGACTGTGGTCAGTTTACTTGTAAGTATTGCCACTTCAGTATCAGAGACTGAGAACAGATTGTCACTTGACTGGCTACCTAGAGTTGGAAAGAATACAGAGTCAGAGTCAAACTTTAACAATATAATAGTGTACAGCTGATCAATTCACCAGCCATCCCATCTCTCCTGGAGGATCCAGGAGTCTCCTGCAAAACGACAGCAGCTTCCTGACACTCACAAATGATGTGTGATGTCCTGGCAATCTGCTGTTCCGCTATTCAGACGCAAAAAAATTAGCCGGCAATAAGTTTTACCACCACAATTCCACCCCCATTCGGCAAACTTTACTGCCAGCACCCCAGCACTCAACCTCCCAGACAGCACATCTGTTGAGATGTTTGATACCGTCAGGACATTATACTGTGATATTCCACGCTATTCCATTAATACCTGATTAAATTTTCCTGTGGGTCGGAGTATTTTCAAATGAAAGTAAGATACACTATGTTTAAGCCGGAGCTGAAGAACTACAGGGTTATTTACTCCCATACTTCCAGACTGATGAGTAGCTTTTACATTGATTAATGCTGCTATAAGAATATGCGGTTGCACTACTGCACTTTGATTTATCATTCAGAACACACCTGCTTTTACAACAAAAAGTCTGCACACACCTGCTTTTTATGAATTTGTTTCTATATTAGCAATGTTATTCACCTTATAATAAAAGGCCTCGAGGCACTGAAGTAATGGATCTCAAATATTGTAATGACCAAGAAAAGTGTTGAACATCTCAAAACATTCTTAAATTTTAGACTCTTCAAAATAGCCCCCTTTTGCTTCAGTGACAGCAATACAGACACTTGGCATTCTTTCAGCCAGCTTAGCCACCTGGAATGCTTCTCTAACAGTCCTGAAGGAGTTCTCAGAAGTTTTAAGCACAAGTTGGCTACCTTGCGCTTACTCTTTAATCAAACTCATCCCAAACCAGCTCTATAGGGTTTAGTTTCAGGGACTGTGGGGGCCAGATCATCGGTCACAGCACTCTCTCCCTTTCCTTATTCATAAGATAATACTCACTACTTAACCTCCAGGTGTGCTTAGGGTCATAGATGAAGAACAAGTGATTATCAGTAGGTGTGTCCAGACTTTTGATTAATAATGTACACAACCCAAAAAGGGTCATACTGTAAGTTGAATTTAGAAAATACGTAAAAGCTAATGCCTGCATCATTATTACTGCTCAGCAACATTAAGCAGCAATAAAGTGAAGTCAGCTGAGTACTTGAGTCTACTGAATGGCCAGGTTACACCTCCATCCAATGGATTTTTTTCTTCCCTAATGACATGGGCATATTCTAGGACGGGAATGCCAAGATTCATCGGGCTGGAATTGTCAAATAGTGGTTCATGAGCATTAAGAATCCTTTTCACACAAGATTTGACAACACAGAGTCCTGAGCTTAACTGCTTTGTAAGACTATGGCAGTGTTTCCTCAGGGAACCCCGGACAGTCCACGTTTTTACTCCCTCCCAGCTCCCAGCCAATCAGGAACACCGAATACCTGGTACAGGTGTGCTGGGAGCTGAGAAGAAGCAACAACATGGACTATCCGGGGTTTCCTGAGGACTGGGTTGGGAAACACTGGTCTATGGGATGTGCTGAAGACGACTTTACAGAGAGGTTCAACTCACTGGTCAATATAAGATCTTCGTGAGAAATTAATGAAAATCTGGATGAAAACAAATATTAAGATGTTCCATAAGCTTGTGGAAACAATGCGATGTCGGATGTGCACCATAATCAAAGCTAAAGATGGTCCAATGAAAAACTGAAATGGTGACTTTTTTTTGGCCGGGCAATATATATTGTATACATTATTTTCCATTTTATTTTCTCTATCCTTTAGAACATCATCATGTACAATGACAATAAAGATATATGTTAATGAAATACATCTGTCTTAAACGCACAACCCATATTTACACCACTGCCTGCTTGCCTGTCCTGTCCTGTCTCTACGCCTCTGCCAACGATTGTTGAGGTCCCCACAGCTGAGGGGCCTGAGGTTTGGGAGGCAGCCCAGATAGAGGCTGAGATGGATGAGGATCACGACGGAACACAAGGTGCCTGAAGGCAACACTTCAAGAACTACAGGGAGGTGCCAAGAGAGAAGAGCACCGTCTTTGTTAAACGGTGAGTCACTAGTAAAGTGTCAGATCTCACATCCCTTCATGAGCTTATCCTCCTGGAGGAATTTAAACAGATTTTGGCAGATAGTATTAGGTTATATCTCATTGAAGAGAGGATGAGCTTGTTATCTCAAGCTACCGTCTTCCCCAGTGCCATCTCAGTATGTGGGAGAAGTGGTTACCCTAACTGGGACGTCGCCTCGATCCACTTCACTGCACATAAAGGCTGAGTGTAGGTGCTTCTACTGCCATTAGGCTGGGCGTGTAATTGTTGACTGTATTAGCCTAAGGCAGAAGTAGCAACAACAGCAGTCGAACCACTCTGAGGGTGTGGGTTTGACTGAAACTGCCCATAGAATTACTGAAGATCCAGATGATGAAAAAAAAAATTCAGGTTGACTTTTGCTATTTGCTATTTCTATTCCAATAGATGGTTTCAAAATTAGGCTGACAGAGCACATTCCGGTAACTGCTGCGTGACACTGGTGCAGCTCAGTTTTTTCATTTGCTCTGACATGGTGAATTTTACTGAAGACGTTTGCTGAGACATGTCTTAGCGGCCGGCTGTCTGACAGTTCCACTCCATAAAATTCACAGTCAGACCTAGGAAGTGGGATCGGAAAGGCAGGAGCATGATCCTCATTGCCTATGAAAGGTGTCCAATGTTGGGGAGAAACTAGCTACATGTAACAGCGTTACATAATTAAAGTAGAAAATAAATATGATTGTTATCCATTACACTTACTGAGAAAAAAATTACTTACAGTTACTAATAATTTACAGTTATAGTAGTAATAATTCACAGTTATAGTATTAATTTACAGTTACTAATGAAAATGTCAGTGATTACAAAGGAGTTGCATGCAAATATTTAATATTTGCAAAAAAGCATATATGTAGAAAATAACATTCATTTTGTTGCTTTGCAGTTTTTGCCATGCAGAAATGCCTTCTTTTGGCTTATTTCCAGATAACAGGGACTTTTCAGCTTTATTGCCCAGTTTGAAACATGTTTAAAAAAAATAAATAAAAAAGTATTATTACTTTAATGCAGTAATCAAAATAGTTACATTACTTTTTACATCAATAACATATTACATTTTAAAAGTAACCTTCCTAACACTGAAGGAGACTGTAATCTTAGAGAATAATCTTACTGGTGGTAAAACACAAGCACTACACCCGTAGAGCAGGCTCAGGACGGGTAGCTTGTCTGGGCGTGTCCCACTGTTTTCATGAGTTGTTTGGTGCCTTGGGCTTAATCTCCCAAGAATGAGGATGTGGCTGATTTGTCGGACACATTCCTGGGGCTGTCAGGACAGCTCGCCAGTGGGACATTCTATTGCAGAACATTCTGCCAGAGTTAATGAGCCCCACCCGTTTATTTAATATTCATGGAAAATTTATTATTCCACTTCCTACTGTATATTGCACTGTCTTGTCTTTTATTGCACTGCTGTTTTGTAATGTATTGCACAGATGTTTGTCTAAATGTCCCCCCATGCACCTTTCCCCTCCCCTACAACTGAGGCACAAGAATTTTACAGTGTTCCACAGAACACATGTGACAACAATCCTTGAAACTTGAATTACAGCCCTTCTAATAGTGTGAGCATTAATGCAATTATCTCAACATTCAGCTTGCCTAGGATGGTGCTTAAGCACGGCCGTGACCAAGTCGGCTCCCTAGGTGGCTGCCAATGTCCCTTATGGGACTGACCAGCTCCGATAGTCAGTCACATTGCCATATGTCGGAAAATTGAAATGAAAAGTAAAAAAAAGACATCATTCCAAGTACCTCAGTCATGGGGGAGTTCATTAGATTGCTATTTCGATACCCCTTCCCTGAAAATACTATGTTCGCTGCATGGGATGTAACTTACCGTCACTATTTGTTGGGCTTGGGTTCATGGCGAGCCGTGAGATTTGCGTCTCACAATCGTGAGAGGGCAGACCGGATTAAAAAACTTGATTCTCACAGGTAAACCGTGAGACTTGACACGTATGGTCAGTTGAGTGGGCAAATTTAATTTCCAGCCCTGGTTGCATGGATGGCTAAAAAAAAACATATAAGATACATGTAAGGTCAATGAGACGCTACTTTGCTAAAGTTATTACTGTTCTTGCAATTAATATTAACATTATTATTATTTATTTTGGACAGCGGGAGGAACTACACGCCACATAAGCACAGTATAAAGTACAGACAGTACAGACCCCGCATGAGTATCCTCCAGCTACGCTTTTCAAAACAAGTAAATAAAAAAACACCTTACCTACTTCACCATAGAAAAACATTTCCAAAGTAACAATCCGATTACTAGAAATAGGTATAAAGCGACATAGACTCTTCTTCGTACAGCAGGTTGTATCGCGCACGGAAGTACTAGTCAGGAAATTGGAAACGTAGAAGGACACAGACTATAAGCCAGGTAGGTTGGGCGCGGATAATCATATGATCACCAAGGATCGTCAGCCTATCGGATCCGCTCCCGGACAAACGTGTTCGTGGCAAAATATTTTGATTGGAAAAAAAAAATTCATGCTCGATCCCTCAATGTTTTAACTGCGTGTAAAGTACTCACCATGTGCGGTTTTTAAATACTTTGTCCGTGGGGTACAAATTGGATATCGCTAAAATGTCTGTCAAAATTCGCCATGATTTTGATTACCAGTGAACACACCTGGGTTCAGTGCAATGCATTATTTTAAGTGAAGCAGACATGTTAACCATTCCCCGAAGATTTGCTTATTGTTAGTGAAAGTTAAGCTTACTCAGCTTGTTCTTATTCGATGTGCAGCAAAAGACACGGATCAATAACTACCGTTTTGAACAGTTTGAACGACTGTCATTGAATCTGCAGTGAGGTAAATATTTGCATCGCAAAATAAGATCAAAGGCGGTCGAGTGTAATAATGGTAACTGGTTTAGGACTGCAGTATACTGTATCTCTGTGGCTACGTATTTCAGAAAATTACAACATAATGTTTTTATGCGTGTTTTTTCAACATATCGTACTTTTATATAATTAAGCAAGAAAAGCAGTCTATAACAGATATTCTTCATATTGATAGAGGCTCAATGACGCCTGCAAATTATATACAATATTGCGGGCATTTGTTTTTTAGAATGAGAGCGCGCGCGCGCAAGCGAGCGAAGTCCTTAGGGTTTTATCTAAAATCTTTGGGGAAGGAAAGCGGGCGTCAGGGAGCCGCTGTCAGCAGGCGGGAGACTCCCAGAATTTCCGGGAGAGGTGGGATGCTGGGTTGCCAACTTTGGTCTGCTGACTGGCGTGAGATTTTCAATTCGAGACAAGTCTGCATACACAGGCACACGCATTTACTGTACATGTATGTAACAGTTTTATTACCTTGTAAGTAGTCGGTAGAGTTTTCAGATTACCCCAAAGCTTTTGAGGTAGTTAATTTTAGGTTTATAATGGAATAATATAGATTTCTGTAAGATTTCCTGCGTGAGCGTGCGAATCTGAAAGCGTGAGTCTCACGTCAGATACATTTGGCAAACCTGGGGATGTCTGCTATAACTATTCATATTGTGGCATCAATTGTTCTGTAAAGGATAGTTGTGTTGTATTGATGTTGCAATGAGGACCCATTAGGAGGGGACATATGGGGCGGGGCTTCCGGGAGGAAGCATATACAGTAAAAGCGTATGAACGTGATGCTGCTCTCCGTCTGTTTCTTTCGTGATATATAATTACCCGGTACTTACCCTTTGATGTTAACATAACATAACATCAATGAGCATAATCCCCGGCTGGTCGTAATTTGCATGTTTCCCAGTGTGTCATTTATGTAAATAATGTGTTTTGGCCGGGTTTTCCTTGTACCCGTACTTGTGTCCTGTTTAATTCCATGCTGGATCCCTGCATGTTTTAACTGCGTGTAAAGTACTCACCATGTGCAGTTACCCCTGTTTGTACAGTGACTTCCCCACTGTTTCCCTGTCAGGAAGTCAGTCTCATGCAGGTGCTCACTTTCCTGCTTTTGTGTGAGTGAGTTTCATTTCTGCCTGTGCAGCACTCAGTCTTTTTAAGGACTCATAATAAAAACAATAAATCTCCTCTGAGTCTTGTTACTGCACTATGACCGGTTCTGGCAAATACCACAATGGTGTCAGAAGTGGGATCCTGAGAATGAGCCCACTGGCTCTTTTCCAGTGGACCTGGAGGAGGATATCACTGAGCTTGACTCAAACTGCTTGTGGGGTGTTGAGCGCAGGTGTCCGAGAGCAAGTAGACCCAGAAAAGGCTAATGATCCACCGCTGGGGGAAGCCCTGCTTGCTGCTGCCCCGTAAGCAGCTGTTGGCTTGCTAAAGTACAGCAGAGACCAGCACTGGGAGCTCTTCACTGTACAGCTGGAGCTCAGCACCAAGAGCAGTGCCTGGGATGACCAGATGACAGACACCCACCTTGGCTTGGCATTGGATGCCAGAGCTCCACAGGGCCTCTTGGATGTCGTATCAGAGGCTCGGTTCTACCTTGTGGAACTGACGGCACCCCTAAGGCAGTGTTTTGGGAGCAACAGAGGGGATCTAAAGGCCTGTTAGCTATTCAGCATTCGGTGGCAGCACAGCGGGGAGCAGCTTAGAGTCCTGGCCTTTGACATCAGCGCACTAGCCAGACAGGCATAGCCCAACTACCCCACGGTGGTGCAGGAAGAGCTAAAGCCGCAGGCCTTCCTCTCGGCTCTCCTCCCCGACCCCCGACAGCAGCAAGTCCGGTCGTTAGCACCGGCCATCTTAAAGCAGGTGGAAAGTGTGGAGCCAGTCTTAAGTGTGGCCCCTCTTGAAGATGTTGCTGTGCGCTCAGCAGCCTGGGAGGATAGCGACCATCCCTCAGGCGATGCAACAATCATCTGCTGGCACTGTGGAAAGAGAGGGCACCCTGGGCGTGTTGGGGGAAAAGCAAGGGGGGATGCAGTGAGGGTGCTGTCGCCCTGACCTTCCAGAAAACCTCAGGCCAGCGGCTCCACTCCAAACATCTACCACGTCCGCCAGCTTTGCGACCTGTGGAACCCCTTCCTGCCCTGTACCATTGATGGAGTGCACTGGAGTGCACTGTCTCTAATAGACAGTGGCTCCACCATCTCCATAGTGAGAGCAGGCCTTCCGCCAAGGACAAAGGGGCCCCCTCTGCCAGGCTGGGGAACTTCCATCGCCCAGCTGCACTCAGTGATGAGGTCATAGCAGACTCCAGCTGGGGTGTATGCTCATTTCCCACAAGCTCTAGCTCGTCCCAGTGCAGGATGACCGCATCCTAGGGATGGATCTCCTCATCAGCCAGCAGGCAGTGCTCAACCTACGATGGAAGATCCTATTCCTGTGGCTGCTGAGACCTCACTGCGGCCAACAAGACCCCACTTGCCGAAAGCCTGATCAGTGCATCTGCCAACTGCAAGCCCCAGCCCACTGGCTCCAAACCCTATGACAGCCCTGTCCTGCACCCCACTGACTTAGGCAGCTGCAGCAAAAGCAATTAAGTCCCTGTACCAGCAGAGCAGCAAGAGCCTTGATGAGGTGGAGTGAGTGCAGCTGTGAGCGCTACTGGAGGAGTTTGCAGACATATTCATTACCTATGATGAAGACTGAACTCACACCAACCTGTTGCATCATGACATCAACATGGGCGGTGCCTCCCACATCCTACTCTGCCATTGGCCCTTGCAGAAAGGGTCACCTTTCAGCTGTCCACCATCCTGTGGGCCACCCCCACCATCCTAGCTAAGAAGAAGGACATCCCATGCTGATACTGGGATGTGAGCTGCACACTCCAGTTGAGCTGACATTGGCTGCCCACTATGACAAGAACTGCTGAGGCAGTGCCTGGAGGCCACCCACCGCCTTACCCACGATCATCTGACAGCGGCAGGACTAAAAGAGAAGTGGCCATATGACACCCACCGCCTAGGGGTTCCCCTGAACAACAGGGCATCGATATGGCTCTACAACCTCCGTGAACGATGGGCTACTCCCTGAAGCAGTCAGGCTGTTGGCAGGAACCAGCCCGAATCCCGGTCGCTCATCGTGCATTGAGACAGGGTGGCTCCATACCACCCCAAGGTCACCCATTCCCTGAAAGCAGCTAGCAGTCCAGTTCCTGCAGCCCCTGACAGCAGCTCAGCGCTTGCACCCGGCCCTCCACCCCCCAGCAGCACTACTGCGCGGCGGCCAATGAGGGCTCTGCGGCAGCTGCTGCCAACCTATGGGATTTTGTACTGGACTGAGGTGGGACTGGGAGCGAAGCATGTAATTAATGTAACGTGTTTTGTGTCATGTGTTGCATGTGCCTGTACTTGTGTCCTGTTTAATTTCATGCTCAATATGCCTGTTTTAACTGTGTGTATATTACCTACCGTGACGTGTACAGTGACTTTTCCACTGTTTCCCTGTCAGGAAGTCAGTTGCACATACGTGTTCTGTTCCTCATGTGCCTTTGTGTGAGCTAGTTTCATTTCTGTCTACCCAGTACTGAGCCCTGTTAATAAAAACAACAAATCTCCTCTGAGCCTTGTTACTACACTAAGTCTGGGTCTGGCGGTTATGACAATATTATTAGCAAATTTGTGGCTTTATAGCTTTTAGAGTATTGAAAAGTAGAAAATGCTGTACATTTACTGAGTATGTCACTGAGTATGACTGATTTAGGTCTACTAAACAAGCTAATTGACACAGCATACTGTTTCTGTTGGTATTTTTTTCTGAATGAAACAAATTTGTGTCCTTATCCAGATATTGGATGCTAATTGTTAAATGTGTAATACAACATGCCAAAGAACATTGCACAAAGGTAGTACCACCCAGGCCGTACATTTCACAGCTTGCGTGGCTAAGAAATAATGGTTTACCTTATACTACAAAAGATGTTTGCGAGAAACATATTCATATTGCTGCCATCAATCTTTGTGATTCCCATAGCTGTTCCAAAGCATCTGTCGGTCAGTATGTGTGACACACCTAAAGAAGTGTGATAATGTTGCCATGATGACCATTCTGTGCTCTTTCCAGTACATGTAATTTTATATTTGCCCACTAGGGGTATAGTTAGACGGGAGCAGGTGCTATGCATGGAATCATGTGAGGCATTTTTCCTCAGAAGAAGAACTGCCCCAACAGGGCTGACTCTAGCTGTAGGCAGAATAGACCGTTGCCTAGGTTCCCCAAATTACGCATCTTGTGGAGGAATGATCTCCAATTTTCTGGGTGGGGGCTCTCGTAAAGCTTTGCCTGGGGCCCCTGAAAAAGTAGAGCCATTCCTGACAGCCAAACACCTCAAATGTCTCCGGTCTCCTGCTTTTTTCCTGTTTTATACAAGCTGGTAAAGTATATAACCACCACGGGGAGTTCCAAACATAATATATGCTTGTTAAACTTTGTTATTCTGAAGTATTGAGTTTAATGGAA